GTGGGACAAATTAGTGATAAGTATGTATATATTGTGTATATAATTTATGGTTAGCAGTATAAAAAGCTCTTTAAGGACAATGCATGTTTGTTATTCTGTTTTTCAGCTATTCATTTCTGTCTATGTATTAAAGTGTTACTATATTCTATATTGATTACTGGATATATTCTTTTTTCCCTAGAATCCCCTATTACCAGTGTCTCATTTTCAAACCAAGTTAAAAGCCCAAATTTAAAATGCTGATTTTCAAGCCAGGCATTTGTCTTGGAAGATCACAATCTTCTTCTCTCTTGAGCTGGACAAAGCCAAGCTTAGTAAATAACAATGACAAAATCCATCATTATGTCCGTTTTTGAGCTACTCATTTTCTCTGTATTCCAATTATAAGGAGAAGGTTCATCTCAGCATTTTCCCAAGAACTGCTGTCCTGGGTATGACAATAAACTATGTCTGGCATCAAGGTCTCTGACGAGGAGATTAGAGGTTTTGAGGAATGCGGAACCACTTCTTAATCCAGGGAGTTCCCAGGTCCACCCTGATCCAGAGTGGTAGCACCTGTTATGGTCCCAGCTATGGGAAAATAGTGAACCCACAAACAAAAATCAACAGTACATTTTTATAGTAAAATTACCAACAATACATTTTTATAGTAAAATTACCAGCAATACATTTTTAGAATAAAATTTCCAGCAATACAACACTAGAAAGTATAAAAATACTTCCTCATAGTAAAATTACCAGCAATACATTTAATAAAAAAAATTACCAACTATACATTTGTGTTGTGAAATTACCAGCAATACATTTTTTTTTTAAATTACCAACAATACATTATATTATCTACAAACTATATATCTAAAAAAACATACATTTACCCTGACAGTATAAAATTATGGACAAAATATCTATAGTTGAAGGTATAAAATTTCATTCACAATATTTAGATTTAAAGGATTTAGAGGTTGATATGCACTAAACAAAATCAGCCAACCAACCAACCAACCAACCAACCAACCAACCAATCCAACCAACCAACCAACCAACCAACCAACCAACCAACCAACCAACCAACCAATCCAACCAACCCACCCAACCAACCAACCAACCAACCAACCAATCCAACCAACCAACCAACCAATCCAACCAACCAACCAACCAACCAATCCAACCAATCCACCCAACCACCCAACCAACCAACCAACCAACCAATCCAACCAACCAACCATCCAACCAATCCAACCAACCAATCCAACCAACCAATCCAACCAACCAATCCAACCAACCAACCAACCAACCAACCCAACCAACCAACCAACCAACCAACCAATCCAACCAATCCAACCAACCAACCAATCCAAGAACTGCTACTTTGTGGAACAGGCTTCAGCATGGAAGCTTCTCCAAACACTACAATCTTAACCACAACCATTGATGGCTCCCAAATAGTTCCATCCACTCAATTTTAATCCCAAGGCTTAGGTCTACTAAAGGTATAGTTTCCAAGCACTTTCCAAAGGTGCCACATGCCGGGATTGCCTCCCTTCTTGACAAATCGACTATGGTGAGATTCAAATCCAGGTCTTATGGTCGGAAAGGAAACATTCTAATCACTTGGACACATTGCCCATGCATGAAGTCACAAGTCATCATGACTGAGGGTTTGAACATATTGTTCTTGTTCAGACTGTTGCTCATGCCAGATAATGTGCTGTCTCTCAGAAATTGTAAATAAGGCTGCTCAGCATAATTGCAGTATAAACAGCTGTGGGTGTTGCACAAACACAAAAGTACCTGAGCAGAAGTCTGCAGCAGGGATTGGGTAGATGCTCTAGTAGGCAGACATACTTGGATATGAGTGGCCAGCCATTACATTACAATCTTAACTTCTTCAGGTCTAGAGTCAATTATTATCAATCTCCCTCTTACTTTCATAGTCTTCCCTTTCTATCACCTGCTCCTTCATTCATATCACACATCCTATTCATCCTAACTCTGAAATCTTGTATTAGATGAACTTGAGCATAAAAAATACAATGTGTAAATGTCTACATTGTTTATTTATTCATTACACATAAGGATGTATGTTCAAATGAAAACCTGATCTTCTTCTATATACCATGTCCATTCAGGACATTGCTGATCATGGCTCTCCACAATTTCCTGTCCTTTGTAGCTCTTAGCAATTTTTATCTTCTTGCTCTCTCTCCTAAACCCTGTCCTGTGATCCATTTACTCGAGCTTTCTAGGTTAGGTTATGCACAGTTTTCCTCTGTCCCATGCCTTCAATCAGTCCTGTGAGTATCAAATTTTCCAAACCCCCTTTTCTCATTATGTGCTTGAGAAATTTCAACTATCTCTTTCTTTGTCCAACATAAGGAAAGTTGGCTCCCTGTGCCGCGCCAGGAAATTTTTCTCCCCAGAATCAATCCTCCAGATCTACAAATCAACAATTCGCCCTTGCATGGAGTATTGCTGCCATATATGGTCTGGAGCCCCTTCTATTTGCCTCGGGGTTCTTGATAGGCTCCAGAGGCGGATATGCAATATAATTGGCCCTGCTCTGGCATCTCGTCTACAGTCGCTTTCTCACAGATGCACCGTCGCCTCTCTCTGTCTGTTTTACAAATACTTTCATGGCAATTGCTCCGAGGAGCTGTATTCGCTGGTTCCAGACTTCATGAGTTCAAGTGCCCTACGAGGCTGGCATCCCGCTCTCACCCCTTCACTGTCAAAACTCCTAAATGTAGCCGTCTCTTCTACTCCAATAGCTTCATGTCTTGCACCTCTTGCCTGTGGAACTCCCTTCCCTATTCCAGTTTCCCTGAGAGCTATAATCTCCAGCTATTCAAATGTAATGTCAATCGACATCTCCAGTTGCCTTGATCTATCCACTACCCTTCTCCTCATCCTTTCTTCTATCACTCCTATCTGATCTTGCTCCAAATTTTCTGTAACCCCTTGTGTCCTAGTGGCTTCCCGCCTTGCTTGGGGTGAAACGCTTAAAAAAAAAATATTAGTGTCCTTTTCATTCTCATTTTATCTAAATAAATCATTGCTCACCTGTTTCATCCATGGTATTCTCAGCATTCTTCTGTAGAACTACCTTCTGTTGCTTCAAGTCTCTTCTTCATCTGTGGTAAACATTTCGAAAGTTTGTTGTTTTTTGAATCCAAGTACTTTCGACTGATTCTACAGTCATTATCATTTTTATCATGATAACTGTAGAAACAGTCAAATGTATTCAGATTCATAAAAACAAAAATTAACTTTGGAATGTTTACCAATTGTATAAACAACTAAGTCAAAAGTTGGAAAAACTTAATAGAAAATTGGGCAGACAGATCTTTATATATATATATATATATATATTTAAAAGTGAACATGGAAGTCGACACTCAGAGGCAACAGGCTGTTTCATGCTAGAAGCAATCATCAGGCCAAGCACTTTATCCCAAAAATATAGCACACCTTAAAACTATATTTCTTCACACACACACACACACACACACACACATATATATATATATATATATATATATATATATATGAATTGGGATCCAATATGGATCAAATATAGATTAGAATCCAACAATGATAGGATAAGGAACAAATAGGAAACGTTTTTAAATTTAACATGTTTCACTTTTACTTAAGCTTCATCAGAAAATGAAATGTGGAGGAAAAAATTCTATCAACAATCAATATATGGACACTACCAAAACTAAGTAAAAGTGCCCACTAGATGCATAAATGCACACACAAGCATATTACCAACCAAATCTGCATAGACTAATTAGAATTGTGATACACAAACACACAAGAATTATATATATGAACCCTGTTTGACAAGAGAACTACACGAGGTTTGCATAATCAATGAAAAACAAACAACACAAAAAAATACCATACTTTTCATTTCTCCTCCATATTTAATTTTCTAATGAAGCTTAAATAAAAGTGAAACATGTTGAATTTATAAATGTTTCCAATTTCTTCCTTATTCTATCTATCTATCTATCTATCTATCTATCTATCTATCTATTTCTCTCTCTCCCTCTCTCTCTCTCTCTCTCTCTGTATATATATATATATATATATATAAACGATGTTGATTTTATGTAATTCATCATATTCAAATATGTTTTGAATTTATTTAAAAATAAAAAATTATATTGTGCTTTATCTCTTTGATAATATTCTTTTTATCTCCCAGCCTCTTCCTCTCTATCTCTCTATGTCTTTCTCTTTTTATCCAAGTCTCTATCTTTCTTTTTTTCTCCTTCTCTTTTTACTTTCTAGCTACTACCTCTCTATTGTTTTCTTCTCTTTAGCTCCCAGCCCTTATTGCTCTCCCATTCCCATCTTTTTACTTCCCAGCTTCTATTCATATCTCCCATTTTCTCTTTATCTTTTTTACTTCCTGCCTCAATCTCTCTTTTTCTCCATATATTTTCACCTCCCAGACTCTAATTTTCTCTCTCTCTCTCTCTCTTACCTTCCAGCCTCTAATTTTCTCTCTCTTTTTCTCCTTATCTTTTTACTTCTCAGCCTCTTTTTCACTTTTTTACTCCCAGCCTCTTTCTCTGTTTTTCTTCATGTTTTTACCTCCTAACACTTATCTCTTTCTCATGTTTTTACTTCCCAGCCTTTACCCATATCTTTCTCATTTTCTCCATATCTTTTTATTCCCAGCCTCAAGCTGTCTCTCTCTTTTTCTGATTATATTTTTACTTCATATCATCTCTATCTCTTGTTTTCTGCATTTTATCTCCAAGCCCCTAATTTTCCCTTTCTCTCCTTATTTTTTTTACTTCCCAGCCTCTACTAACCCTCTGTCTTTTTCTCATTATCTTTTCATTTCCTTACCTCTAACTTTCTCTGTTTTTTTCTGCTTATCTTTTTACCTTTCTGCCTCTTTCTCTTTTTCTCTCTCACTCCCATTTAATCTCCTAATACCTTTCTATCTTTTTTACTTTAATCACTGTAATTTCAATTCTTAGTTATATTAAAAATAAATAAAAAATACTCTCAAGCTTATCTGTCTCTGTATACACAATCAATATACAACCATTTTCTCCCTCTTTAAATCTATTTAATTTATTCTTTTCATTTTCATTCCCAGAATCTGTCACCCATCCCACTCCAATTTCACCCAATACCATTGCTGCTTCTTTTTCATTTTTCTATTCAAGTTTCCCCATCAATCGGATAAAGCATGCGCTCCATTGAATTGATTTCCTTGGTCTCAGCACACAGCACAACCTTCCTGTAATAATCACTGGCCTTCTATTCAAAGTATTCCTTTATGTCTTTGCTTCACTGAGCAACTCTTAAGGTCATAAAAAATGCATAATTCAGACAAGAGTCATCTCCCCTTTTTGTTCTTTTTCTTGTGTTTTTCATGTTGATATGCAGATTTCAAACATAAAATTCAAGCATTTTATTCTTGATTGTATTTGACATGGACACTGTAAAATATTGATACTAATATTAATATTGATTTGAATCTGGCTGCAATGATTTGTTGGGAAGATCAATGTTTCATGATGTTTATAGATCAACTTTTACAAACCATTTCACATCTTATGGATTTGTGAACAGCTCTTTACAATTCTTAAAGGGTTTATGGAATAATATTCTTTGCTTATTTATAATACCAGCTGAAAACTGTGTTGGGTTTTTCTCATCAGAGTCCATCTTGCACATTTACAAATCTAGCATTCATCAATGCATTGAATACTGTTGCCACATCTGGTCTGGTGCTCCTGCTATTCATCTCGAGATTCTTGACAAAATCCAAAGAAGGATCTGTAATGTAATTAATTCTAACTTGGCATCTTGACTTCAGTCACTTTCTCACCAACATGATGTGGCTTCTCTCTGTCTTTTCTATAAATATTTTCATAGCAACTGCTCTGATGCGCTTTTTTCACTGGTGCCCTGACTATGTGAACTTAAGCCTGCTACTAGGCCCCACTCTTTCACTGATGAATTAGTTAAATGTTACCACCACCTCTACTCCAACAGTTCCTTTTCTTGCACTTCCTGCTTGTGGAACTCTCTTCTGTTTACTTGCTTCCCTGAAAACTACAATCTTCAAGAATTTAAATGCAACATCAATCACCATCTTCTATCTTCTTGAATTCTGTTTAGCTTTTATCCTTTCTTACCTACCCCCTATATCCAGTCTTTTCTTTCATCTTCACTCTCTGTTACCCCTTGCATACGAGTGACATTCCTGCCTTGCTTGGGGTGAAATGATTAAAAAAAACTGTTTCTGTTCTTTAAATATATATATTATTCTTAAAATAGAGAACATTTTATTAATCAAAAGTAGGATAAAAAAGTATCATCTCAATTAAAAATAGAAAAACTTAGGTACCTTTCATCCAATGCTTCATCAGAAGAAAAATCATCAGAATTAAAATTAAACTACTAAAAGAAAACACATCTCCTTGCAATAGATTTCCCCACACCTCGTCTCTTTTAGACCAAAAATATTTCACACAAACACACACACACAGACACACACACACACACACACATATATATATATATATATATATATATATATATATATATATATATATATATATATAAATATATATTTATATATAAGTCTTATACAATACTATTAGCTATTGTGGTTATTTTTACAAATTAACAGCCCAGGAAAATTTATCAAAAGTTAAGAGTTTTAAAATGAAAATTTTAAACTGAATTTAACATTTATACACAGTTTCATTTAGTGTTTGTGTTTCTGAGATAAAGTAAAAGCTTACTTTTTTCTTTTTTTTGTCAAATAGATCAGAGTAAGAAGAAAGAAAATCACAATATTCTTTTTGGCTTTTTTTTTTTTTTTTTTCAATAATTTCACCCCAAACAAGGCAATAAAGTCACTAAAACACAAGGGGTTAAAATTAACAATAAAAGAAGTGTAATCAAGAAGACAGTAGATTCCAATTGACATTGCATTTAAATTTTACAAGATCAAATTTTGCACTGGAAAGCAAAAAAATCCAGAAGAGATTTCCCTAAAGGAGTAAAGTAACTGTTAGCATAGAACTTACACTTACATCTAATCAATTTAACATTAAATGATGAGAATGTACTGCCAATCTAGTCTACTTCTTTATGTGCTGTGTCCCCTCACAATGTAGCTATCAACAATTTTCTGGCATCTTTAGTGATGAATTGTATGTTCCACTTGAGCTCTGAGTTGAGGTTAAGCCACAATAGGCGTGCAAAGCACAAGGTCTTCCTGAGGGAACATCTGTTCATCACAAGAAATTTCTAGTCCAAACTTCTTAGTATATAGTTTTTCTGACAGCAACTTTACATTCTTATATTCTTACACTTCTTTTAGCAATGAAGTAAACAGAAAGACATTGGCTAATCAATAAAATTAATTACAAGGCTGGATCAATAATTCCATAGTCTAATAGTTATTTCATCATTTGATGAATCTTTATCTAAATTTTTCCCTCACTTAAGCACTATAGACTCATTGAGGAGTATGGGCCCACACCTCCCAACATGCTAGGGGTTGCTGCTATGGTTGCCATAGTAAATAAGTCTTTACATGATGGAGTTGCTAGCCCTATCCCAAACAGGTTTTGAATTCAGAGTTGTCCTTCTACCAGACTAGTTTTTACTTATTTATATAAGAATTTTTGTGATGAGTAATTATCATTTTTATATAATTTTCTATTCAGATCAAAATGTTCATCTTGAATGTTTTGGTTGTTGTACTTGCCAGCATCCTTTTATTATATATGATGGAATGGTTGAGATGAGGAATTATCATAATTATTATATGCTTTCCTATTTAGATCATCATGCTCATCTTGGTTGTTATACTCACAACATTCCAGCCTTTGTACTCTCCAGCCTTCTTTCATTATTTATATTGGAATATTTGAGATGAGGAATAATCATTATTATATGCCTTCATATTCAGACCAGTATGCTCATCTTGGTTGTTAAACTCACAAGCTTTCAGCCATTGTACTCTCAAGCCAACTTTCATTCTTTGGAATGTTTACGATGAAGAATTATCATTATTGTATGCTTTGCTATTCAGACCAGTATGCTCATCTTGATTGTTATACTTGCAAGCTTTCAGCCATTGTACTCTCAGGCCTTCTTTCATTATTTATGCAGGAATATTTGAGATGAGGAATTATCATTATTATATGTCTTCCTATTCAGACCAGTATGCTCATCTTGGTTGTTATACTCACAACATTTCGGGCTGTGTAACTGGTAACCTTCTTTTTGGCCTAGAGACACATGACCAAACTGGTTCTGAATTCAGAGCTATTCTTCAGATTAGTTGCAAACCAATGCTGAGGAGGCAAGTCTGACCTATATAATGTATAATGTACATGACTAATATGAAAGTCTTAAATTAAGTGTTTTGACAAAGAAAGTCATTATGTTCAAAATTAAACATTTATGTACAATTAAATAATTTTTCATCTTTAGGCTACAAAGTTTTGCCTGCATAGTATGTGTATCCATAGGTGCATGTTGCATTCAATGTCTCTATATAAACCATATTACAGAATTCTGAGTTAGTTCTATTCAAGTTATATTTGCATGTGTTTCTTTATCTTCAATTTTTCAGTTGTTGTATGTCCCACAGAGGACAGAGAATTCATTTTTCATTTCATGGCTACCTGAATAATAAGTTTTGTCAGAATTTTTTAGATGAAAAATTTTCATTATTACATGCTTTGCTATTCAAACCAGCATGCTCTTTTGGTTGTTATATTCACCATGTTTTGGCTGTTGTATTCTCCAGCCTTTTTTCATTATTTATGTTGGAAATTTTTAGATGAGAAATTTTCATTATTACATGCTTTGTTATTCAGACAAGTGTGGCCATTTTGGTTGTTATACTCACAATATTTCAGCTTTTGTGCTCTACAGCCTTCTTTCAGTATTTATATAAAAAATTTTGAGATGAGGAATTATCATTATTATAAGCTTTGCTGTTCAGATCAGCATACTTTCTATGGCAAAAAGACAAAATTTATTAAGAGCTACAAAGGACAGAAAATTGTGAAGAGCTATGATCACCAACATCCTGAAGTGACACAGCACATACAAGAAATAACTATTGGTGCCTGTGGGAGTGTGAATTTGGTCTGAGATGCCAGTATGGTTTATATCTCTGTATGTCTGTACCACATGAAGAGATGGATTGTCAACTATTTATGATTTGGTACAGTCAAAATGGATTGAAGTAGGTGTGTATTATATTGAATCATTTAGACTTATAAATCTTGCTGGAAAAAAAAAATTGGTTGACTTTATGAGGAAAATAACTGATAATTATATAAAATTGTTCTTTAATCTTCTGGTTAATTGTCAACTGCTGAAAATTTAGTTGCTTTGTTCTATTCATAACATCCTAGCCTAATTAAATAGCCATAATAGGTGCTGTTGCTCACTTAAGTCTGTTCTTACCCCACAATTAACAAATATAAATACCTAAGGGCTGAATGTCATTATATCTTCTTCAGAACCCTAAAACCATAACTATAATTACTGTCAACTGACATCTTCAATAATTTAAATACAATACCAATCATCATCCTGTGTCTCCTTACAACATGTCCTCTTACTGTCCCCTTTGTTTCTTTCACTTTCAGTAACCCCCTTGCATCCTAGTGCCTTTTATTGCCTTACTTGGGATGAAATTATTAAAACAGTCCTGGGTATGAAGATAAACTACATCTGGCAGGAAGGCCTCTGATCAGGAGATTGGAGGTTTTGAGGAACATGGAACCACCTCTTAATTGCTCTTGTTCCTAGGTCCACCTTGACCTGGGGTGGTAGCATCATTCAGGGTCCCACCTATGGATAAATAGTGAACCCCCAAATAGAAACAAAACTATGAAAGTATAAAAATACAAGCAATATATTTTTATATAAAAAACTGACCAGCAATACGCCTTATCTGTAGTTGAAGACATACAATTGTGTTCAAAAT